CTGTTTTGTCAGGTCCTTACGAAAGAATCCAGACCTGTTCTCCGTGACCTCTTTCTCGTGACCTCTTTCTCGAGATCAGCTCCCTTCCTTAGGTGAGCTGTATTCTTCTTTGCGGTATTAACCCATGTCCGGCCCATTATTGGGCTTGGTTTAACTAATTCGCTAACTTCAGCTGACGGGCTATATTTGGGCCCAACAATGTGCTACTACATAAAGAAGTTTCTGCACTATGAGTTTTCTACTAATGGGTATCAAAACACTAAGGCAAAATGGATCTGTAAACATTTTTATTCCTTTTGTTAAGTAATATGAAAGCCAAAGTTTCAAAAAAAAAAGAATTTATCTTTCTATGAAATTAGATTAATGTTTCTAACTTTCTTCCATAGGCACCATTTGCATGTGTAATCGAGTTGATTCGTATATACCTCAATTAAAAAGGAATAAAAGAGCATATTCTCTTCGTTGGTTTAAGACAGTCGAAAGAATCTGATCCAAACTCTACAGTTGGAAGCAATGTTATATGTTCTTCTTTTTTGGCTATATGTGATTGCTTTTCCAATACATGGTGTGGCTAATACGTATGTATACGGTGTATGTCTACTTCTTCAAGTATAGTATATCAAATTATTCTGCAAAAAGTACCAATTAATAAAATTACTAGATGATACCGCAAAAGTAGATATTGTATTTGTGACGGTGATTTTGAGATATATTGTTGGTATTTTAATCAGATACACTAAGAACGATGTCATAGATTTGAGTGTATGTTGATTTGATTCCTCTCTGTATGTGTTTGACTAAAAAGTCAAAATGTTCATCTTAGCTCCAACTACGATTGTTTTGTTTGGTCAACAAACAAGTGACCAACCTATGCTCTCTCGGTTCGGTTGAAAGGAATTAACATTAAGCAAACATTTGACAGATTAAAGCCCTTCTTCAAAGAAAAAAACATTTGACAGATTTAGAACATGGAGCAGACATGTTTTCTATAAATTATTTTTCCATTAAGCAAACATTTGAAAAGAACGATGAAACTTGAACGGGTGATTTTCAATAATTATTAGTTAATCAAGAATTTTACTCACTTGACTAGTTTAGCCGTACGTATTTATTTTATTTTATTTTCTCTAACTATTTAGGTTACTAAGAAGATTTACCTTTTCCACAAAGTTTATGTATTACAAACACACAGTTTAAAATAGTGTTTTTTGTTAACAGTGGAATTTCAGGCTCTATGCCGATATTTTTTTCGCAAATTATTTTCATTCTAATTTAAAAAGATAATCGTTTGTACCAAATGTGGTTGGACATACAAGAACATAAGGAAATCAACGCCTTGCAGTATCATTAAACGGTGTCGCATGAAGATCAATTACTTTAAATCAGTTAATAACACAGCGCATTTGGGTTTTAATTTCTTGGATAAGATGTGGTTGTCTGGTTTAGATTGTCCACAACGTTGTGGAGCCATAAATTGTAAATTAATGTTTGGGCATAATTAGGTATCAAGCTGGTTCAGCAAAGAAAGCACATGCATTGGGACGACACTTCCTTAAAGCTTTGTGTTAAGAAAACCAAACAATTCAATAACTTTTCTCAAAATCTATCTAAGTGCAGAAATAAAGTAAATATTCAGTTATATATATTTCTTAGCAAACTTGTAATTAAAAAAATTCACCAGTGGAACCATTATTTAATGGAGTACTCAAATTTAAGAAAATCATTTTAATTTGGATCATTTTATGAAGACAAAATCCTCTATAATTAAAATTCTAAACTTGATTAATAAATGAAATTAAATTCATGGTTGGCATGCTTCAGCAATCAGCTATGATGAAGACCAAAAAAATAGATTCTGAGATTAAAAGTTTGTACTAGTTAAAGTAAGTAGTAATAAATAACTATAGAGAGTACTCTTTGTATTTAAAAGTTTAATATTTCATACTCCCTCTGTTCCTAAAAGATAGACTTTCTAGTGTTTTCACACATATTAAGAAAACACATTAAATCACTATCGTTTTCCGTAATTTTCAATTTTCAACAATTTTTAACCAATAGTAATCTAATAAAAGCAATTAATTTTTTTGAAACTTGTAATATTCTCATAGAAAACATAGAATATACATCTTTTTGAAACAAAATATTTTTCCAGAACATGGATCTTTTAGGAACGGAGGGAGTATTTGACATTATAATGAATGTATTTTGTTTAAAACTAAAATATAAAATTTTGTGTAAAAATATAGTAATGTTTAGGGCGACGTTTAGGTCTATAATTAGGGCACTGTCTATTTCTTTAAATTAATAAGAATTTAAATTAATGCTGCAAAAATGAGAAACCAATGAAAAAAATAGGAAACGAAATAAAAGAGAGAAAAATGGAAAGAGGGATAAATGGGAAAAATAAATAAAAAGCTTATTTGCGTCAGCGTGCGAGAAGAAAGGGTTAGAATCAAGAAACCGACGTCCCTCTCTCTCTCTCTTTCCCCTCACCTCTTCTTCCTCTCTGCTTCTGATCTCTCTCTCTCCTTCTCTCTCTCTCCCTGATTAAACCTTCATAATCAGGTAATTATCACGTTTAATCATCACGATAATCGGCTTCCTGAAGCCCTTTTTCTCTTGTAATCCATCCTCTCAATTATTTTATCTTGGTGGGTTTTTAATTATTGTTGTGATGATGAAGAAATTGCATTGTTCTGGGAGATTTTGATAATCTAAGATTGTTCATAACCTTATCTGCATGTTTGCAGGGAGTTTTCGGATTCTTTCGATATTATTTTACAAGTCTTTTTGTCTTGTCTAGCTCGTTGCTGCCCTTTGGAATCTCCCAAGCTTTCTCCTTTTATGTTCTCAAGGTCTGATTTTTTTCTTTCTTTCTTTCTTGATTTTATTTATTTCCGTAATTTGCATTAGATGTTTGTTCTGATCTTAGTTTAGGCATCGTGGGCTTGTTTCTTCTTTTCTATTTTAATGCATGAACGTTTTGATTTTTTTTGTTTTTTTTTTTGGTAGTTGTAGAATTGTTCTTACTTTCTCATTTTAATTTCATGAAAATTATATTGGCTTTAAGAATGTATCGTCCGAGAACATGTTGCTTTGTACAATACAATCACAAGCTGACATATGCAGCTTACATAAGAGTGTTATTGATGAAATGTATCTTAGTTATAAGTACCAGCTTTAGAATGTGTAATAATGTTGCATCAGTTTGATATAAAAAGCTCGATTTCTTAGTCATTTTATAGTACTTTCTTGTGTCATCATTATGCTTGCTCATGTTTCTTTTATATAACTAACTCATTACCTATCAGAGGGCTAGTTGTAGAATGGGTTATACTTTCTTTTATACAATTCAAAACTCTTACTTAGCTTATACTTTCCTTCATATAACTCATAACCTTTCAAGCTGAAAGTTTTGATTTTTTGGCTAGCTGTAGAATTGTTCATGAAAATGATCTTGGGTTTACCCTGTCATTGTGAGTTTGAGAATGCACAATGCCGTCGGGTGTGACTTGTGAACATATGTGCTTTGTTGTTTTCATTTCGTTACTTAATACCAAATTCACAATTTGACATATGCAGCGTACAAAGGTGTAAGTTTAAGTATCAGTTTGAGAAGGTTATTCATGTTGCATTAATTGATAAAATCTCAATTTGTTGCTCAGTTTGTACTTTGTTATGTCATCATTATGGTTGCTGAGACTTTGTCTTTTCTTCCTTCTGGCATTAGATGCTAGTTCTGATGTTAGTTTAGTCATGGTGGGCTTGTTTCATCCTTTTTTGTCATGTATGCAAGTTTTGATTTTTTTTTGTTGTGGTATTTGTAGATCTTGGCTTTTACCCTGCTAAGATGAGTTTGAGAATGCACAATGCAATCTGTTGTGAACATGTGTTTGTATGTTTTGATCTCGTTACTTCATTCCCAATATCACAAGTTGACATATGCAGCAGATTACAAAGAGTGTTATTGATGTAATATAGCTTAGTTTTAAGTATCAGCTTGAGAAGGTATAATAATGTTGCATTAATTGGTTATATTGATATAAAAAGCTCAATTTCTTACTTAGTTTATACGTTTTTTTTAAAAAAGTATACTCCGTTTCATCTTTTCTGTGTCATCATTATGGCTGCTAATGTTTCTTAATTATCAAACCTATCATATCAGAGGGCTTATGCAGCAAGCGAAATGGGACAAAGAAATAGAACAGTCGATTTAGAAATGGAGCAGCAGCACCAATCTCAAGCCTCTCTTCAACCAGGGCCTTGCATCCTTCTAGGCAGCTTTCCACAACAACAACAACCTGATAATAGTACTAACCTACCCGCAGTGGCTGCAAGCTTTCCTAATTTAGAAGCTCCAACCTCCTATGACAGCTCTGCAATGTTCTACGGTCTTCCTCAGTACCATCACCCTCATCAACTTCATCAGCCTGCTCCTCCTCCGACGAATTACTATGTTCCCTACCCGGCATTTCAGGGTCCGCCAAGTCAGTTACCGTCCTCAAGCACTCACGGTGTAAGTTCTGATCATGATTACGACAGGAATGCTCACTTTATGGATCACACACGAGGTGCTTATAAAAGAAAGAACGCCGATGGATTACACATGAATCCTCAGTATTTAAGTACTTTAGCAGCTCCATTCAATAATACACCTGAGACAATAGCTCCTTTTGGAGCCCCAAGGAGCAGACCAGGAGCTGTTTCAATGAACCCTGCTCTTCCTCCTCCTCATGCTCCAAATAGTTTCTTTCAAGGGAGCTATCCTGGCCATCATCCTCTCCCACCTCCTGGCTCAATCTGGTATGACCAACACCATGGAAGATCTGATGGTTCACCCTCGTTTTGGCCCCACCCACCTTACATGCATGGTACCTTCCCACCCATGATCTCTTTTTAAAACTGTGAATTTTTGTAATCTTGATTATCTATCTTTGAATAATCTTTTAGGTAGTAACATTGTCGCTGGTTCCATAGAGTCTAGTAGTAGAAACCCTACAGCATTCATGTATCCTCCCCAGTTAAGCCCGAGGGACCATTATTTTCACCCTCCACCTCCTCCTCCTCCTGTACAAGGAGTGAGAGGCCAGAGCGCCACATTATACCCTACCATGGCTTCGTATGGGTTTCCTCATGGGAACTTTGCTTCCCAGAACACAATCAACAGAGGTCCCTCGGGTTCAGAGATGGGTCCAGTTCAACCAACCGGGTTTCGGATATACCAGCATCATCAGCGAGATGATTCTGTACCTTTAGCAGCGCTTAGACAACACCGTGGAGGAGTTCCTCGGTTTAGAATGATGCCTGATGATGTATGTAACTTTCTTGCCTCATTTCTTCTTTCCTTATCTCCTTCACTGTCGTCGTTGCTCAAGATTCTGTTTGGTTCTCTCAATGTGTTTAGGAAGTTGCGATACTGGAGTTTGGAGACTTCCTTGGTGGTTCTGGAAATAACCACATTGATCATCATCGAGATATGCGTTTGGACATCGAGGAAATGTCTTATGAGGTGAGCCAACCCTTTCTCTTTACAGATGTTTCTGTAGCAGCTGCAAGTAGCTTGTCTTTTTATTATCAGAGTTAGGCATGTCATCTCTTTTTATTATAAGAGTTAGGTGTGTAGCAGCTGCAGTTTTCTCTTGAACTGATTTGATAAACCGTGGGGTTTGAACAGGAGCTCCTTGCTTTGAGCGAGCGAATTGGAACAGTAAACACTGGTTTGCCAGAGGAAGATGTTAAGAACCATCTGAAAACAAGAACATGTTCTGTAATCAACCATGCAGAAGAGTCCTCGTCGTCGTCCCCACAAACTAAAGACAGAGGAACAGAACCTTGCACAATATGTCAGGTAAAGAAATATATAGCCAAAAGATCAAAGCAAGGCTGCACACTGCACAGGCATGGATTTTAAAAGCTCTAAAGAGTTCTCTCGATTTGTGTGTTACAGGAAAGCTTCAAGAACGAAGAGAAGATTGCAACTTTGGATTGTGGGCACGAGTATCATGCAGAATGCTTGGAGAAATGGCTGGTTGTGAAGAACGTTTGCCCAATCTGTAAAGCAGAGGCATTGGTCATGGAGAAGACAACTGTTTAATAGGAAGAAAGAGTGGCTCCCTAATCTTTTGGGTTTATATATATATATATATTTATATAAAAAAGGAAACTTAACAAGAAGAGAAGAAAACAATAGTTTGGGTTTGTTTTCAGCTCCAAAAGAATTCTGTAAATTTGTACTCATTTTTTGTTTGTGCACATATAAATATGTGTTAATGGTGTCACTCTTTTTTTATTTGGTTTCTTGGCTTATGTGACACTGAAAAAATGTACAGGCTAACTTGCTTTATCTAGGGCTTTTTATTCTTTTACCTATTCTTGTTCGGATTGCGTAGGGTTTTTATTATCTTTTTTTTTACAGCAAAACGGAAAATTCTATTTTAGGACATATCCTAAGTTGGAAACCCCAAAAAATTGTGTGTTGAATTTCCCAAACTTTCTAGAATGCTACCTATTGTTGAAATACCAAGTATCTCTTTCATCTCACTCTTAATTGTACCTTTAATCTTACTAATGTGCAGTAAAAAAATTAAAATAGTTTTTAACAGATAAATATAAATTTTATTTGACAAGAAAATTTTATTTGAAAATAAAATTTTATTAATATTGTAAATTTTCTTTTTCTTATCAATATTTTAATATAAATTTGATTGAATTAAACATAAAAAATAAGATAATTTTTTTAAAAATTTTAAATTATATTTGTGACTATCCATGTATATATTTAAAAATATGTTCGGTCCGCGCCACGCGCAGATTATATATTTCAATTTGTTATATATATTATTTATATATTTTTGTTTGTTAATTATTTTCTTATTGTTATTTAATGTTTATAGTATATTTTATTATAAATGCAATAGGTAAATCTAAAATAAATACTCATTATTTCAAGTAAACTAAATTATATCTCTCATTCATTTAAAAAAATTATAAAAAATTAAATAAAACAACTTTTCAAAATGTTGTATGAGTTAAATACACCAAAATTTCTATGAAAAAATATTACTATTTACTATATAATTTGTTAAACTACAAAAATAAAACAATCTATTGCAGTCTAACAACAGTTTTTATATAATATTATTACTATTTCTTAAATATGATTATATATTATTGTGTAAATTGTTGTATCATTTCTTCGTTTTTACATTTTCTCGGTTGAAACTGTTTGATATTATCATATTGAGCTAAATTTAATAATAGGATTGTTTCGATGCTTTATAAGATTTTTCATTTGATGGTGTAAGTCTTCTTATAAGTTTATTTTATTTTATTATTTTTGTCAAATTAAATTATATTTCATTACTTGTTCATATTATGTAATATATATTTTTATTAGCATTATATTTTTATTAAGGACTTGAATTCATAACATTATATCTTTTTAAAAAAAAAGTTACATATTATTTTATTGTTTTAGATATACATTGTTTCAGTACCAAAAATATCAACAATTTTAAAAATATTTATTTCAGCAAAAATATTTTTTATATTTTATGTACATTGTTTATTGGTAAATTGTAAATGTTAAAAAACAAAATTTTATTTTTCAAAATTCCATTTGGGATATAGTTTATTAGAAATTAATGTATCAGTATTGTTTTTTTTTGAGTTAGAGAGAAAATATCTTTTTCGAATTTTTTATAGAATTTGATGTAAATTATTTGGTATGACTTATCTGATTGGGTTACATTATAGTGAAAATAGCTTTTGGTATGAAAATGTTTCACGCAAGAATTAAATAACAGAACATTAGAAATCTTTAACGAAGAGAAATGGTGACGATTTGTTAACGGCTCCACCAATTTATTTCTCAGATTATAAAACAAATAACTTTTACTTGCTATAACAGTGTAACGTGCCCGCATATTTTTCCAGTTTCACAATATCTAACACATTTTTAATCTGCTTAAAGTTCTCCAGCTAAAGAATTATTTGTTACAGATTGGAAGAGTTTTAGCATCTAAAATTACTGGTTACAACTAAAAGAATTTCCAAGGTAGAAAATCATCAACAAACACTACTTCTACGCTTCTCTCTCTCTTCCCCTGCAACACATTCTTCTTCTTCACCTGCAACGAACTTTTCTTCCTCCTCTGTCACTTCACATATAAACCATCTGTTATATCAAATTTTCAATACAACCATGAAAAAATATTTTCTTTATGGTGTGTTGTGTGGTATAAGGAAATTGTCTATACCAAAAAAATAGGGTTCTTTCCACGCGACATCAAATCTACATAAAAACTCGAATATGCAAGTACAATCATAGGATTGACAACCCCGTGTTTAGAGTTGACCTTTTTGATTCTGTCAATGACAGGAATCCCCAAAGCAAGAGTCTTTCTAGTTCATGTCCTAGCACGATCTTGTATCTCTGGCTCAAGCACAACTCTTTACACAAACAACAAACACCAATATTGAGATAAAAATCCGATAAATTTCAATTGACCTCATTAGAAGAGCGTACCTAAAATGGAAAGAGTTTATGATTTCCTCTAGCACTCAGCTTTAAAAATATCCGGGGACTTTCTTTCCAAAAAAAGAAATCTCCGGAGACATCTGAGGCTCACCTATGGCTAACCCATCACTGACGTTGCTGCTACCAGTCGTTACTCTTGTGTGAAGCAGCGTAATCTTGATCTGTGAATCCGGCGAGCGAACCATCGAGGATCGGACCTGGAGGGTTAGACATTTCCGGGTAGATCAGAGATTGTAGGGGCAATGGCGGCGATGGAGTAAGGTGGTGAAAAGAGTGGGGTTGTTGTTCTTAAGATTTATAGCATGAACTTAAGAAAAGTTGTAACCGCTCAGGGCAGGTCAACATTTTTTGGGGCTGGAGTAAAACAAAAATATTAAATTCATAATATTTATTTTTCTTAAAATTTTATATATATTTTAACTTTTTTTATCATCGACATCTTTATAAAATTTGGGGTGAAAATAAATTATGTACACATAAAATATTTTAGGACCCTTTTTCAACTAAATTTAATAAATATTTAAAACTTTTATATAACAATACGTAAATATAAAATATATTGGGCCCATTAATTAGTAAGATACGGGCTTGGGCCCGAGGTGATCGCACCGTTTGTCCTCCATCATAGCCAGCCCTATAACCGCTAATGAAGACATTTAGTTTCTGAAAAGGGAAAAAAAGAAGTGACGATAACACTATTTAGAAGGTGGTTTAATTAAAAAATAATTAGTTTGTACCATTAAAATATATACGAATGTAACGTAGAAGACTTTTGAAGCCCAAATAACATATTAAGAAAAAACTTGATGCATAATGATGAAAGCCCATCGCATTAAATGAAACGTTGAGCTTTGCTTAGCTGGAACATGTGTCACGCTTACAGAGTCTAACTTTCTGACGTAACATCCTATGTGGCATCACCATAAGGGAGTAAACATAACTTTATATATATAGATTATAATCTTAGATATATTTTCTATCTATTTATTTTAATTAAATATAAAGTATTTTTTAAAAACAATTGCATAATATCAAAAATTAAAATTAAAAAATATTTATGAAACTGGTAGATATATAAGAAAATAATGATTTTACGATTAAATTTTTATAACTTTCTAAAGAAATTGAATGCATTTTTGAAATATTTGGTTAGTAAAATTTTATAATTTAAAATATATAACTAAATGATATTTTGAAATTTAATATATTTATTGTAATGATGATTTATGAATTATTACCATATTCTAAAATATTTCCAAAAATATAAATCGACACTAAATAAAATATATGAGTTATTACCATAATTGTAGTGCCATATTTTAATATATATATATATATATATATTAGTGATGATTTATGAATTATTACCATATTCTAAAAAAATTTCAAAAATATAAACCGACGTAAATGTAATATATGAGTTATTACCATATTTTAAAAATTTTACAAAAAATATAAATCAATAGTAAAAGTAATTCTCCATGTCATGTTAAACTTAACCATATTATCAATTTTAGTAGTTTTGTCACATTATTTTTGTGAAAATGATTGTAAAGAGAACATGTGGCACAATCACTTCTCAAATAATATATAGAGGATGACCGAATTGTAACACGTGATCTAGTAAAATGTATCTATTGTCTTGAAATCCTTCATATTCTTAAAATGTTTTAAATAACCATACATTATTTTTGTGCCTTATAGAAGAGGATACTATCATCTAGAAAGAAAAGATGCGAAATTGGAGGACTTGCCGTTGCTACCTTAGAGTAACAAGTATTTTTTTTCATTTTCAGCTTTTAACACTTTAACTTAACATCTTTTTTTTTCTTTGTCATCTGTTAGATTAATTAAAAGCTTGAAATAACAAGCCAAAGGTAGCATACAACATAAACCGCTAAGGATTAGATAACTTCATACAATCAAGCTTTGTAGACATCTTTACTCCCAAAAAATAAAGCCATATCCAAGATCAGACCACACTAACGATGATCCCTCACAAAAATTCTACCCTACCTTCACAGGAAACCCAAACTACACAGAGAGAGAGAGAGAGAGAGAGAGAGAGAGAGAGAGAGAGAGAGAGAGAGAGAGAGAGCTGTTTCCTCATTCTCAAAGAACTTCGCCAGCCATCACGGTGCCCCTACAGCTACATAAGATTGAACATAACCATATTTACCACATTTTGAGCAATGAGGAAAGACCCTCTGTTAGTTAACCTTTCTTCTTCCAGTACTCTCCACCACTCCAACTTACTTAGCTTTTCCATTAACTCTAAAGACTGACATCTGAAATTCGGCCATGCCTTGGGTCTTAAGATTACCTTAGTGTGAATCTCATCATCCATCGCTATGATAACCTTATTGAGGTGATGATCGTGCATACAATCCAGTGTCCATAGTAAGGCTTGAAAGTTTGCCTCCTGAATAAACCTGGTGTTTGAAAAAGCTCGACGACTATGCAATATCACCTTTCCTTTGTCCTTCCTCAACACCCACACTGTTCCACTTCAGTTTTGGTGTTTATTCCGACACGCCCCAACGTTGCATTTTATCCAACCTGTAGGAGGAACATACCATGACTTAACAACTGTCGTCATTGCCTCATGTTCTTCCTTCTCTCTTTGTGATGCAGCCGTGGAATGGCTGTCTCTCCCTGGATCACTTGAAGGGGGCGTGGGTGGATGATAGATGATGAATATGGTCTCTTCCTCAGAGCTATGTGATGCTCCAAAGATGGCTTTCTGCTCCACTGACACAGGATCACCCTGCTTAGTGTCTAGAATGGATCACAGAGATAATCCTTGCAAACAGAGAATCAAAGA